ACCTGGGCAGCACATGCCAAATAGGAAATGGCCCTGGTGTTCCAGAGGGAGCTGGCCATGGATTTGGGGACAGTGGTGGAGATGGAGCCAAGGTCAAAGAGGGAGAGGTTGAGGAGGAAGAAGTACATGGGGGTGTGGAGGTGGTGGTCACAGGCTATGGCTGTGATGATGAGGCYGTTGCCCACGAGGGCAGCCATGTAGATGCTGAGGAAGAGCGAGAAGTGCAGGATCTGCAGCTCCCGCCTGTCTGCAAATGCAAGGAGCAGGAACTCATTGAAGATGCTGCTGTTGGACATTTTCACCTCTCCAGGCATTTGGGGACTGTGGAAACAGGAAGACAGTGACAAGTCAGGAGACACCTTTCTTATCAATATTCTTTCCCTTTCTCACACCATGTTCTGCCTATGTGGACACATATGCCTTTTGGCAAGACCTTAGCTCAGCTCCCTGTCTGGGGCTCCAGCATCCAGTTCTACCATGAGCAACAGAAACTTCTGCCCTTTGACTCCAGAGAGGTTAKTTCTGCTATAATAAAGGGCAGTTCAGTGTTTTCACAGTCAGTTATGAGGTATTGTGGCCACAAAACCAAATACCTCTCTTGCTATGTCACACTCCTGAGCACGCACTGCCTGTGCTGACATTGGTATCCACTCGCAACAGGCAGCTCTCCAAACTCACCTCTCTTTTTCAGCTGTGATCTCCCAAGAGTGATGCAGAGAGTGCAACACAGCTCCGATGATCAGAACAAGGACCCGATATCGTGGTTCTGGTAGGGACAGATAACTCATGATTCAGCTTCTACACAAAGACACACAGTGTTTAGAACAGCTGTTCACATACAGTCACCCCCAGCAGCATCTCTGTTTCCCTGGCACCTCTGTGGCTTCTCCATGGCTCATTCAGCCATCACAAATGTCCTAAGGAAGAGCTGTGCCCCACTGCAGGACAACACACATCCTAGCAGCAGAGCCCAGCAGGGCCAAGGATCTTACAGGTGGCATCTCCTGAAAACATGATCAGCTCCTTCCCCTGACCCACAGACTGGGCTACTTTGAGACCCAAGGGCAAGAAGGGATCCTCGTCCTCTCCCTGCATTGGGAGGCACTTCTGCAGCAGGAACAGAGGGTCTGAGTCAGACTCTGTAGCTGCAAATTAACTCCACAGAAAGGCCAAGAAGAGGAACAAAAGCAGCCCAGCCTGGGAGGGAAACAAGCAGCAACATCTTGGTGCTTCTGCCTGGGCTGGCAAAGGCAGCAGCAGAGAGGCACACTGTGGATGGCCTTCCCTAACCCAGCTGTGCACAGCAGCCCCTGCATGGAGACATCACAGGGAGTTGTTCCCAGCTCTTTTGCCTTGGTGTAGGAAATGGACAGCTGGGAGGAGAGCTGCTCTTCTCCTCTCTTGGGGCCCTGGCTGCCAAAAATAGGCCTTATGTCCTCCATCCCATAGCCTGGAGGCAGAGGTTCTGCTGGGTGCCAGAGGAAGGGTGAAGGGTGCTCGTGGAGGAGAAAGTATCTGCTCTGCAGGGGCAGGCAAAAAACTTCCTGCATCCCAGCCTTGCATGAGGATTTGGAAGCAAGTTCTTCTTCCCTCAGATCACATCTCTGCTGCTTGGAGATGTCCTTGATGAGGGCTCTGTCCCTGTCCCCACCATAGACACCCGCTCCTTTGCTGACCATTCAGCTCATCCATAGAGAAAGCAGCAAAGGGCAGGAAGCACCTGAGGACATGTCCCTGTTTGCAGGTGCTACAGAGCACATCAGAGAGTCTCTGGTGAGAGTGGCAAGGGGGTGTCGGTGCTGTCTGCAGGCTGACAGTTGCTGAAGGCACTTGATCAGGTTCCTTGAAAACCAAAAAATGCACAGTGGTGACAAAGATGATGTGCCCCTTTCTTAAACCTCTCCACTGCATTTCTATCCCCACCATGCAGACATAGGTCTACAGGAGTGGAAAACTCCACTCTCAGAATGCCCTCCTGGTGAGATAGAGCTGTGGGCAGCCCTGACCCACGCAGCAGCCTCTCAGCACCAA